AAAAAAAAAAAAAAAAGAAAGGAGATTTGAGAAGTCAGCCTGGTCATGGCCCCACCTCCTCTCTCAGTCCTGCCTGCCTCTAGTGCCCTCTAGTGTCTGCTGGCCTCTCCCTGGGGCAGATGTCATGAAACTCAAAGTCATGGGATGTGTGGAGGGGTTGGGACTAAGACATCCCAGCCCCCCAGGGTGCAGCCTTCCCTAGAGAATGCAAAGGAGACCAGGACTATTGTGTCACTATGCCATATGCTTCCACACTAAACACCTTTCAGATGTGACAACATGAAGCTGTCAGGAGAATTTTATAATTCCCCTTTTGCACCTGGGGAATCTAAGGCCTAGCTCATGTTTGCAAATATGCATAGTTCCATAGTTGCATATTGTCAGCCTGTTAGGAAGAGAAGCAAAACCAGTAAGTTTCTCATCTTCTCCTCTACCCCTTCTATTATCCATTCATCCATCCATTTGTCATTTGTATCAGTCTGTGTATCTATGTATCTATGTGCCTATCTATGTATCTATCTTACTGTGAATAATATGTGGCTTTAAATTGGACATGGGTTCAGCCTAATTGTGAAGTATCTCACTAGAAATGCCTGTCAAAAACCAAGCCCTCCATGCAGCAACCTCTAGGGAAGTTCAAGTTGGACCTGACAGCTGACCAGGGACATTCAGCCCTGAGTGGAGGTCCTGTGAGCACATCCTACCCACTTCTGACTGCAGAGCCTGCCCTGCCATCACAGAAGGAGGACAAAGAGTACTGGAGAGTCTGGGCCATGACTCCCAATCCTGCTACTGTCCTAGGACTCAGTGAGTCTAGGATGAAAGTGAGAATTTGAGAGTCAGGGGTGCAGGGAGATCTGGAAGGGGTCCAGGCCCCATCTGTAGTCCATGACATGCTGAACCTCCGGATGAGGGCAGTCACCCCCTGCAGGCACCTGCTCGCTCAGTGTCTCCCGATCTGAGCTGATCATGAAGAGACCCAAGGCCTCTCCTCGTATGTCATAGAAATTGGGGGGTGGGGGGGAGACCAGTATAAGAAAGGCTGAGGGATGTCTGGTTGAAGGTTGCTTTGGGGCTTTGTCTGGACCCTGCTACAGAAGAAGGAAACCATCATCCTGAGGGTTAAGATTCATTAGAGCAGTTTGGAGATTGCAGGCAGCTAAACCTCCCCCTGCAGCACACTGACCCTTGACCCCAATTTAAGGACACCAGGCAGTGGACATTGTTCTCATGGTCTTCTCTTCCAGTGCTCTGCCTGGGCCATACAACCCACAGGAAGGTGAGTGACATCTAGGAAAATCCCCCCACCTCAAGAGCTGCCCACACAGAAGGGTGAATGATGTCTAGGAAATCCCCCCACCTCAAGGGCTGCCCTGGACAGAAGTTATGTTTATTCTGGGAGGGATCTGGCACCAAGAACAACTACATAATTATCCCTTGACACCTTACCCCTTCCTGATGGCTCCACACACCTACATGGTATCAGTAATTCAGTCCCAGACATGTCGGATTCAGGATACCTAAAACTGGATCCATGCTCTGCACTCATACAAACCTGATTCTCCATGACCCCCCACACACACCCTGCTCTGGTCTCAGTAAACATCATTGGTCCAGGACCAATTAACAGGTAATTAGCCTTGATTTTCCTTATGCCTACCCACACTAAAGCAGCCACAGAATCTTTTTGATTTATACTCCCTAAATGTTATATCTTCCCACATCTCTTGCTAGACATCCTCTTTCAAGATCTGAAACCCGACCAGAGATCCTATGATAGCACCAGAATATCACCTGTGATATAGGCTCCTTCTTTCAACTACATAGTCTTAGTTATAGGTCACTAGCAAAATGGCTGCTGTTGCTCCAGCCATCACAACTGCCATCTAGATGGAAGGTAAGGAAAAGCATGAATTTAAAAAAAGGCCCTTTGCCCATCAACCCATGAATGGATTAACAAATTGTGGTATATGTACACCATGGAATTACTATGCAGCCATAAAAAAAAAGATGGAGACTTCACATCTTTTATGTTTACCTGGATGGAACTGGAACATATTCTTCTTAGTAAAGTATCTCAAGAATGGGGAATAAAAATATCCAATGTACTCAATACTACTATGAAATCAATATATAACCACCTACACACTAATATGAATGGTAAAACATAACTATAGTCCAGAAAATAAAAGGGAAGAGGAGAGGGGAGAGGGGATATGAGAGGAGGGAGGGTATTTGGGGGGACCTCACTTAATGTGCATGATGCCAAGGTACACTTCAAAACTATTAAGAAATGAGTATAATTGTGATGGATGTGTTACTTAATTCAATGTAAGAATTTCACATCGTATATCAAAGCAGTACCCTGAACCCCATAAATGCATCAATGTACAAAGTTATGATTTAATTAAAAATAATTTTTTGGCTTAGCACCTGTGGCTCAAGTGGCTAAGGCGCCAGCCACGTACACCTAAGGTGGCGGGTTCTAATCCAGCCTGGACCCGCCAAACAACAATGACAGCTGCAACCAAAAAATAGCCGGGCGTTGTGGCAGGCGCCTGTGGTCCCAGCTACTTGGGAGGCTGAGGCAGGAGACTCACTTGAGCCCAGGAGTTGGAGGTTGCTGTGAGCTGTGATGCCACAGCACTCTACCCAGGGGGACAGCTTGAGGCTCTGTCTCAAAAAAAAACTAACCTAAAATAATTTTTTAGAAAAGGTCCTCCTGGCCTAATTGCTAACCATAAACCTCCCTTCCCGGCATTCTAACTTACAAAACCTCATCTCTCATTGGCACACATATGATAACACCGACAGCTAATCTGATCCCACAGTTGCCAAGTATTGTTCCATGAAGCACTGAGGCCAGCAAAAAAGTGCTCAGATTCAAATGAGATCATGGAGTACAGATGTGGTGCAGGCAATCACAGACTTGTATCATTTCCCTGTTGTCCCTGTTTCCTCTCACAAGAGGAAAGGCTGTTTCCTCACAGTGGACACTGAGACCCTGCCCTGCTTCCCTGCTAGGAGCCCTGCCCAGACCCTCCATCTCAGCTGAGCCAGACTCTGTGTCCAAGGAGATAATGGTGGATGTTGCTTCTAATGGAAAAGAGAAACCCATGAAAGGGACAGTTCAGTAGAAGAATTCCACAATCCGAATCAGGTTCACATGTACTGTGTGTCCCCTTTGTGCTCCTGGCCACACAGCAATTCACTGAGAGCTTCACCATCACGTGTTCACAGGTCTCTGCTGGTCGGAGTCAGCGGAGGGCACAGACCTGCCCCTTCCCTGAAGCATCCCCAGGGCAGGTGGGATGACTGATCGTGGTGAAGACCCTACAATGCTGTGCTGAAGAACAAGTGGAAGAAAGGAAGGGACCCCATGAAGGCTCTGAGGGGGGCAGGACCCACCTAACCCTCACCTGGGAGAGGCCAACACAAGAGCCATCAGATCTCATTGCTGCTGTGCCCTGGCCTTCATTGAGATGAGGACAAATGAGGCAAATGGTGGCTGGGGGTCAGGGAGACCCCATTTCTGTCTGAAATGTTTGCAGAGAGCCTGATCCTCACCCAAGTCCCTGCCCTGGGGAAGTGAGAACCAGGCTCCCAGGAAGGAAGTTCCCCTTCCTGTGGAACTGCGGATGTGACAATCTCTTGTCGAGAAGGCCCCACCCCCCCAGTGATCACACCCTGTGTGTCTGTCCTGAGGGCACAGGGGTCCCCTGCATCTTCACAGCTGGGGCCAGTGGGAAGAGACGCCATGACCTCCACCCTCACAGCTTTGCTCTGCCTCGGTGAGATCTGAGGAGGGGCAAGGAGACCCTGCTCTGAGAGGGACCCACACCACCCCACAGCCAGACCCTGCTCTATCATAGGGCCCCAAGGGTTCAGGAGGCTCCCAGGGAAGAGGGGACATGCTCAGCCTTCAGAAGAAAAATTTCTCACAGGGAACTCTCTTCCAGGGCTGAGTCTGGGCCCCAGGACCCATGTGCAGGCAGGTAAGTCTATCCCCAGCGGTCCCAGGTTTCTGCTTCTCACTAGGGACAAAGAACGGGGGAACAGTAGCTCTGGACTAACTGATGGGGACATCGGGAGGGTACTGGGCTGAAGGCTGGGATCTAGGGGGGGTTGTCTGGGTCCCAGATCCTGGATTTCCTTCCAGACACCCTCCCTAAACCCATACTCTGGGCTGAGCCAGACTCTGTGATAACCCAGGGGATCCCTGTGACCATCTGGTGTCAGGGGACCCTAGATGCCCAGGAGTACCTACTGGACAAAGAAGGAAGATCAAGGACCTGGGGCAGACAGAAACCACTGGAGCCTGAGAACAAGGCCAGGTTCAATATCTCAATCATGACAGAGCACCATGCGGGGCTATATCACTGTCGCTATCATAGCCCTGCTGGATGGTCAAACCGCAGTGATGCCCTGGAGCTGGTGGTGACAGGTGAGAGCATACTCAGGGATCCCAGTCCCAGGCTCTGCCCTCAGAAAGGAGATCTGCTCTCAGGGGTCTCCTTGGGCTGATGTGGGAGGTGTGGACCCCATCTCACACAGCTGCCTCCTTCTCTCTAGGATTCTACAGCAAACCCACCCTCTCAGCCCTGCCTAGCCCTGTGGTGACCTCAGGAGGAAACGTTACCTTCCAGTGTGGCTCAAGGCTGAGATTTAGCAGGTTTGTTCTCATTAATGAAGAACGTGATCTCTCTTGGACTCAGGACTCACAGCAACACTCATATAAGTCCCAGGCCCAGTTCTCTGTGGGCCCCGTGACTCCCGGCCACACATGGATGTTCAGGTGCTATGGCTATCGCAGGACCACTCCTCAGGTGTGGTCCATCTCCAGTGACCCTGTGGAACTCCTCATCTCAGGTGAGGGAGCCTCCCCTCCAGGTGTGTCTAAGACGCCCTCCATCCCTACTCCACAGGGCCCTGTCCTGGCCCCTGGACAGATACTGACCCTCCAGTGTCACTCTGATGTCTGCTACCACAGATTCATTCTGTCCCAGGGTGGGAGATCTGGCATTGCCCAGTCTAGCAGTCCCAGGCTGGGCTCTCCTAGGCCATCTTCCCCCAGACCCTGTGAGGGGCTCCCACGGGGGTCAGTACAGATGCTGTGGTGGATACAGCCACTCCTCTGAGTGGTCGGGCCCCAGTGACCCCCTGGACATCCTGATCCCAACAGGTTAAGTCAGACTCCCCTTCACAGGCCCTGCTGGGGAGTCCCAGAGGTGATGGGCATTATTCCAAACTCTATGAAGAATTTTAACAAAAGATTAAAGGGACAATGAGAACCCAAGTGACCTGGCTCTGGTGGAGAAGAAGGGGAGGCCACCTCAGGCTTTCACCCTTTGTGCCCCTGGCATTCAGGAGTCCCTGAGAGCTTATCTGTGGGTCCTCAGCTACTGAGAAGTGGAAATGCACATTTCTGGGGAATTAGCCTGATGTGGTCAGGTGTCCCAGTCAGAACAGAGAGGACCCAGGGGCTCAGTCACTTCTGTACTGGGGGCCATTATCCTTGCTGATTCTGAGCTCATAGCATCCAATAAAACTCTGAGGTTGATCAGAAACACAGTTTGAATTCAAAGAACACAGGGAGGCTGAAATACCTCAATGAGAGACCAGAGGGACCTGCTAGCAGAGAGTGGGTTTAGTGAGGAACTTGATAAACATTACATCATGAGACATGAAGGGACACAGAATACAGAGCCCAGGGCTGAGGCTGGGCTTGGGACTCCTCATCCCCTTCTTCTCCCCTCTGTTTTGATTCTCAGGAGCACCTGTCACCATCACTCCCTCACAGAACAAGTCAGATGCCAAGCTTGGTGAGTGAGGAGACCCTCTCAGTCATGGGCTGGGCACAGAGGGTCAGGCCCTGTCCAGGGCAGGATGGTGTCTTGGGGGAACATCCAGGGACCCTGATGACTTTGGTCTGCTCTGAGATCTCTGGCCTCTTGTCCTCAATCCCCAGCCCCACACCCCCAGAATCACACCATGGAGAATCTCATCCGCATGTGCATGGCTGGCTTGATCCTGGTGGCCCTCGGGATTCTACTGTTTCATGAATGGCACGGCCAGAGAAGCCCCCAAGATGCCACCAGGAAGTAACTCCAGAGACAGCAATGCACCATCCAGAGTGGGAGAGCCTTGAAAGTAACTCTGATGCTCCCAGGAGGTTCTGGAAGAAATTCTAAGGCACGTGCTATCTGGACTGTCTGCTGGTTATTTCCAGAGGGAGGGACGCTGTCTGGAGTGTGTGTGAACAGGACATTAAACTCTGATACTTTTCCTCTCCGACAGTGTTGACTTCCCTTGCCAGATCTTCTTTTCCCATGAAGCTGTGTCCCACTTGGCAGTTCTAGGTCCACACCTTTGCACACCTGCTTGCTCTGGTCTGCTGTCATGTCACAGTTTTCTTTATTTGTGACTGCTACATTCCCTGATGCATTTCATCAGCCTCTATCACTTCACTTCAGAGTTCCAAACTTTGTCAATAACTACATGAGAATGGGAGATCAATTTCCAACCAGGAAAATGTGTAAATCAAAAATGATGCCCTGACACCCCATCTGGACCCTATAAGCGCCTCACCCTTTATCAGATATTCTCTGCAGCTTCTCTGGAGATGTCCCCACTTGGTACCATCGCACTGATTACTGTTATTCTACTCTGCATTCACCTCCAAGACAGCTACTTTTTGCCTTCCCTGCAGGACTGAGAATGTTCAGAGCGTGCTGCTCTGTGCAGGCTTATTTCACGGAAGTTCTGTCCACAGTGATGAAAGTAACCAGATGTGCTTTCTGATGTTGAACTACTACCCCCTGTGTGTACACCTCATTCCCTTATCCTCTCACCCATTCATGTCTGTTATGTTGAATCCGTGTGCCTTGGCTGTTGGGGATGATGCTGTAGTAACAGGATGGGCTGTGTCTCCCCTCAGTGCAGTGAAGTCCTTTCCTTTGGACATGAGCTGACTCTGTGGTTGTGGATCACAAGGCACTTCTACGTTTAGTGTTTTGAAAACTGTCCGTCCTGATGTCCACAGTGACTGCCCTTAGCACACTCCCTGTCCACAGTGACTGCCCTTAG